ATGACTTGCTCATGAAATTTAATGTTAATGGGTTCTTCGTCATGTTGGTAAATGAATGAGGTCTATCTCCGATTGCCAACTGCACTCTAAAAAATTTTCAGTCTGTTCAATTAAATGGTAGGAGAGCTGTTGTGATAACTTTTATACTTTGAGTTATATTATTTTAAAATGGTGACTAACTGAAACACCCTGTACAGTAATAACAGCAGTTGTGTTCTTGATATTGTGTGGATCAGCAGGGTGGGATTGGTTTGCAGATTTAATTGAAAATTTTTGGGGATTGTGGAGGTTAAGAAGCGCTAGTGTATGGCTTGTTATCATGCATTGCAGCTTATTAGAGTGTTTTTCACTTGACTCAGGCACATGTGCATGGGACGTTCCTCATGCATGGGTGTTGAAGTCAAGTGAAAAACACTGTTGCAGGAGAATGTGACCTGGGAAGAAAAAGGCTGAAATTACTTGGATTGCACATTGAAATGAAGAAACTTTTCTTGTAACTTTCTGGGAGTGCATCCAAGGTGTGGGTGTATCTCTCATGGTAAATATGACATTCAGGGATGTAGCCAGGGGGGCTGTCCTGGGTGTCTGGACACCCCCCGAAATGAATCAAGATTCATGAAACAAGGAGCATGAGAGGGGGGGGTTCCCAATTCATCGCACGAACCTGAAAGAAATACCTGGCTACGTCCCTGATTACTTTACACCCATGGAGATCATGTTTGCGATGGTATGATACTACTTCAGACCCTTGGATTAAAGCATACGAATAGACATAACGTTAGGCTTAGGTACTAGGAGGCCTGGTAGTAGTCCTTAGCCTGGCCTAGGAGTAGGCCTAAGTCAGCCCTATGCATGGTGAATAATCCCATTCATTAATTCACCATTCACCATTCACATTATCCCATTCACTAATGGTGAACATTTGACTTCTCATTAAGTCATAGGCGAGGTCTAGTGAAAAGAAAATTGGAAATTTATATAAGAAGCAATTGGGGGAATATTTTGGACGGTGGGTTTCTAGGGTTGTGACGTCAGGTGTAACTCCGCCCCTGCCTACTTCTGATTGGTCAGGATGAATTTTTTTGACGAGGGAAGAATATGGCACTACACCGGTCTATATACTATGTCCCTAACTCTCTCTCCATTTCGTTGCACTGGCCTACTCTGTGCTGATTAAGGCGAAATCATCGGGAAACTGCCCACTTTAGGGCTAAGTCCCCACGGTAGAGACATCAAGGGTAGACCTGCATGTGTCCGAGGAGAACCAATCACTTTCGTTGTGGATAGGCCTCGACCCATAATCCATCTTAGGCAACTTTCACATGTCCTCAAGACTAAACCCAATCCTACCTACAGTTTAACATAAAGAGGCCTCTAATCCATTCATGGATCCATTGGTATTATTAGCCGGATTATGTGTATCCCAGCTGACAGACTTGTGCAATAACCCAACTATTTTCACTTTAGATAGGGCTATTGCTTCTCATGAGACTTCAGGAACTATGAGTATCAAAAGAATTACATTGATTGGTGTAAGTTATTTAATGACATGTTCAGCCAGTATGCTGCCTTCATAGAAAATGCATGCTGTATGTCTAGAGCAAGTAAATTGATACCTACTTCCCTTAAGGTTTAAGGGGTTAATCGCTTTTCATCAGACCCATTCAGTTGCTCTGGTGTTAAGTTCAAATACCCATTTTAGTAAAACGTAGGAAGTAAATATAATGTAGAATAAGAGGCAGTAAGATGGGCCATTTTTTGGTACACCTTTCTTTTTTCTATGCCTTTTTGAAACCTGGATTCTGTCAACTCTCTTTAGAAGATGTAATACAAAATTGCAAGATCTTTATAGGCCTAAAGGTTTCTGTGCTTTAGAAAGTTTAACTGATAAGTTATGATATGTAATGTATGTCCAGGCTACTCTGATATTTAATGATCCACCCAGTCTGCACAAGACGTTGAGGGAACGTTGAGGGAAAGTTCAATTTTCGACCTTGCTTCGTGGAATAAACGTTCCTTGTAAACGTGTAATCCACGTTGTTGTGGGAAAAAATTCCACGTTGACANGCGAGCAACCTCACCTCTCGAACAAATGCCAGAAATGGGTTTCCACTTGATGAACCAGTCATGGATGTTTCACGTTCTTTACTTGTTCATTCCACTTTTCCAATAGGCCCTGTGATTGATATCCAATGACGCAAAATTATTATAATTTTGACAAATGACTCTTAGAAAGCGAAGATGTCATGAGTTGGAATATCCCCCTCTCTTCAACATCAACTCTACGTCGAGTTACGAGCGAACCCGATGAGTCGATGTATCCACCAAGTATCGACGTTTACTCAACATCGAAACATGAACGTACACCAAAAATCAACGTATCCCCCAAATATCGACGTTTACTCAACGTTCCTGTGCAGACTGGGCATTGGGCTTGAGACACTTGAAGTAGTCTTTAATTCCAATTCCAGCCTTCAAGGATTTTTTGGTTAGTTTCCCACTTTAGGACATGCTTCATTTTCCTGTGAATAAGATCATACTTTATTGATCCTGGAGTAAATTCCTGTGGAGTCACTGTGGGAGTGTCTTGTGTAATACTTGTAGGGTAGTCATGCATCTCCCTGAGAAGAATGGAGTTTTAATTCTAAAAATTGTGTTGCCATGCTGAAAATACCCAGCATATTTGAATTTTTGCATGATTTGTCTCTTATATTTTAAATGCAATTTTTCAAGAGAAAGGAACTAGCACTTACTTATGGACAGTCAAGTATATAGGAATTTTTGGCTGACTCATCCAGCATTAGATTTATTTCAGTTTTTGCTCTTGATATTGAGGTGCAAAAGTTATCATCTGAAGAGCTGAATGGGCAAAGTGAAGTTAAAATGAATCCTTGCAGCTCTCCATGATCTATTTAAGTGATCCAGAAAGGCTCACTGGATTCCTTGACAGATCCTCAATATGCTCATAATAGAAGTGCATCAGCTGTACACTTAACTATATTGTGCATATCACATTCAACATTCCCTCATCTGAATATAAATCTCTGGATTTCTGGATATTATTATTAACTAACCCCGTTTTCTTAGTTTTGCAGTTTCATAGTGACTGATGTTTAGGGAATATGAATGTGAGGAGCTGGAACTAGTGGAACAGAGTGAGCCTCTGATGAATCCTGCTCCAAGAGGATAATGTGGTTTCTTTGGTTGTGGTTCATGTTGACATTCTGGAAATGATATGAGGAGTAATTGTGTAAAATGGCTAAAGGAATAAGTCTCTTGTGTTTGAGAATTTTTTGCTTGGAATGTATTACTTGCGAATCTCTACAAGGGAAGGAGTCACTGCAAATGCCACAGAGGAAAACCGTTGAAAAATCTACGTTTAATCCACGTAGAACATATTCCCATTTCCACGTGGAGTCTACGTATACTCTCAACGTTTACTTAACGTTTCCAGGTCGATAAATATACGTATATTCAACGTCTATTCAACGTTGCTGTGCCACATGGGACTCTCTTAATCCTAACCCCAGGCGCAAATTCCCAGAAATGGGGAGGACTGAATGCAAATTTTTTTTTTTTTGAATCGTGATCGATAACATGCCTCTAACAGTTCAGGAACGAATCGAAGTTTTGAAGTTGTACCAAAAGTACGAAAATCCTGCAGAAGTTCTCAGACGTTAAAACGGATATTAGAGAAAGAGCTGGACCAAATGAATCCGTCGAGCACGCCAACATCATTTAATGGCCGACATTGAGAGTTAAATTTTCATCTTTTCATCTTAATTTCTATAGCATTTTCGTACAAGTGGTACAACTTCAAAGCCTCGTTTCGCTCCTTAATTTTTAGCGGCGCGTTATCTATCACGATTCAAACCCTGAAAGAAATGAAAATTTGTCAATGGTGAAAATTGTCATTATGACGTCACAATATATATATAGATATGGTCGTTCAAACGTGTCCTATTCTTTCTGAACGAACCTGTATATTTCTAAATAAAAAAAATTACCGACCTAGAGGATTATTTATGAACTTTCAACTAATACACAGGATAGTTTTAACCAGAAATACCTAAGATTAATATGCATTAAAATTGATTTCGTGATGGATACCCCCCCCAGTCTGAAATTCTGACTGGAAATTTCTGGCTGGGACAAAGTTGCATTGCTGAAAATGTCAAAATGGATTGCTTTATGGAATTTGATCTTTCTTGTTGTAAACTTCCTCTTGTGATTTCATGAAGTGGATCATCTGGCTGGAATGTAGCAATTTCAAGCAATGTAGCAAATTCAGCTGCTTTCTTCTGATGGATCCCAGGCAAAAATAGATTTCAAAATCGGTATTGCATCACCTCCCTAGTAGCACATAACATTACTACTACTACTAGGGAACTACTAGGGAACTACTAGGGAACTACTAGGGACGCTGGGATATGGCTGCTAGGAGCCTTTCTTGGTCCGAATTTATCTGAATTTATTTCAAGGAATTTCCTAGTTGAAAGGAGGCAGGACGAGCAGTGTTGGTGAAAATGTAGCTATTTTAAACAGCTGGGATTTTAATCTGGATCTCTCTTTGTTATCGACAGCCATTTTAGGAAACACCGAGGAAATTGCAATAAATGGAAGAAGGTACTTTATCACAGGCAATTCTACCTACACAAGGTAGAATGAATTCAGTCAGATTAAAACATGAATGCAGGAAATAGAGACGAAATATCAGCATGCATTTCCAAATTTGGAGCATTTAATGTCCTAGAAATTTCCTGATGCATAATCACTAATAAATCTATTAGGTATTTTAATATTCTCCTATTATTCATTAAGCTCGAGCAATCGATGGCTGAAACTCTCTGAACTTGGATGGATGGAAAGGCCAATGTTTAGAGCACTTTTTATTTAAAAAATTTAGCGATGGTTGAATTAAGCGTCTCATGGGTTTGTTTAGTCTAATCTAATCTTAGTCTAATCTTAATCTCTTAATTCTGCATGCAACAGATTGACAACTTCAGCTCGGGGTTTTGGGTGGAAGGAAGTGCAGTCCATGTTCCGGTCCTGAGATCCAAGTGAAATACATCACTGCAGTACTTTTTGGTACTCTTTGTCCCACGGATCCACTTCATCCCTCCGACGAAATACACGTCAGTCCCTGTTCTCACGAACCCCTGCAGAGATGTAAGCATTCACAAAAGGAGATGTCGACTTCAGCCAAGCATTTTAAGCATTTAATTTGAACAAATCAGTTTCACTCCCATACCTGGCCAACGCGATTTATTGGTTGAGTCCACCCGGTCGGGTATATATGCCAGTCCAGGGTGTTGAGGTCAAAGACGAAGAGGTCGTTCGAGGTCGTCGAGTCGTCTCGACGAGACTCACCGTAAAGGAGCATGTGCTTATTGTAGCATTTTCCGAGTGGACCATGGGCATTTTCCGGGTAATTGCCTTTCAATGGCAAACGTTCCCATCTCCTTGTTACGAAATTCAGCCTCCAGTGCTGAAATGAAAATGTGTACTTCCGGTATATGATCTTAAAATGTTACAAATTTGAATGAAAAATGAGGTAGGAGCCAATGGAATCCGTTATTTCCTATTCTTTGGCAACAAATTGCTCTCAATTTGGTAAGTTATTCCCATTTAAACTTCGCAAATTTTCTTGAACTCAAACTCACTTTCCCATTCGCTTTCATGCTTTTAATCTGGCAATAAAAATAATTGCCAGATTTTTCTAGTCTTGAAAACCAGCCAAAAAAAAAATCCAGGAATCGCAGACTTTCCATCTGTTTCCGTTTCCAGAGGGAAAATGCTCACTTTCTGATCCCAGATTGGAACAAGCGACGTTTCGTGCAATCTACCTGCTTGGAAAGTCCATCACGAAACCGAGTAGAACTGGTCATATTTCCGGTTTCGAAAAACATCTCCAAACCCTGAAATCCGAAAAATATTAAGTGAAAATAATATGCTTGATCGGCAGACCTCTTGATGCAAGTTTTTCGGTCGTTTTGCACGATGGAAGGTTGGGCAGCGCGAGTTCTCCTTGATTTCACCGAAGAGATAGAGCGCCGCCTCGTTGCAGGCTGCGTAGTTCACGGAAAAGCCCTCGGGGAGAACTGCAATTCGATTTTCGGTTCATCAGCTTGATGAAAATGAAGAAAATGAAAGTGAATGAAATGAAAATGAAAGTTGCACTTTCTCTCACCCCCATGAGCGAGAACTTCCTGAAACTTGAAAGGAGCTAACGCATATCCCCGAAGTTCTCCGCTTTTTCCTGCAGAATGGACTGAAAACAATAGGTTTTCGGTAGCGAATGCATCCAATCCCCCACTCGTGACACCTGTGACACCCGTGACACAGAACCAAGGAACTCACTAAGAACACCCTGATGCCTCTTGACAAAACTCGGCGAAGCCATTCCTTGTCGTACTGAGAAGCTGGAATGGAAGTTTGGTGGAAGCGTAGATGGCAGAAGATGAATGTTCTGGCCACCACGCACGTGGCGACGGCATCCATCTCGATCATGCCGGTCGATGGATGTGCTCTGCGTCCTCAAGGCGGCGCAGTGCCCTCTTCGAAAAAGCGGTAGGACTTAAGCTTTTCATAGATGTTGGAGAGTGTCTCGCCGCCCCTCCGCCTGTTGTCGCTTCTCGGGTGTGTGCGAGGTGGTGGAGTGTAAGGTGAAGGAAGCCCATCCCCTCCCCCTTCTCCTTCCTATCGGCGTCCCCCCTTCAGGAATGGCCATGCATGCCCTCTTTAGTTTTTTTCCCCTGAGAACAGCAGTTACGTTCCGAATCAATTAGTGATTCCGGCTCAAAAAGTCTTATATGTTTTTTCATCCCACATATTGGATCGAACCTAGGCATTGTAAGCAAGCTGTTTTCTTCTTTTCGTTAAAGTTCACAGTCTTATAGCTGATAGCTACCAATCGGCATCGATTTCTAATTTTTATTCCTGAGTCCAAGACGTGTCGATTCCTTGCAATTGTTCATAAATGAATCTCAATTCCTAGCCGTTTTCATGCAAAAGTCCCAATTTTTCGCAAATTTTCATGCAAGAATGCAAAAACACCAAAAAGACGAATTTCAATTCGTCGAGATTTTTCGGCCTCTGTTTCGGACCTTATTGATGGCCAGTCGATCATTTCCGTATTTTTCCTGTATATGTCTTCAGATCGGTTCATCCGCAAACTCACCTGGATGAATGGAAAATAGGGTGAACCACTTTTCCCACTTTATGTTTCTCGAATTCGCCCTGAATCGAACGAACACCAGATGGAAATCGAAGGCAATGCACCATTTCCTTCCGTTCCAGCTTTTGCCATGTGCCTTTAAATCATACTCACTTGCCCATTCGTTTTATATTTAAAATCTACCGAAACTCGGTCAAATGCAAGACTCCCAACTCGTCAACAAACAAAACCCCCACTCGGCTACCGCCACAATTTCTCGTTCTACGGGACGTGAGAACGGAGTCCAAGGGCAGAGCAAAGGCGAACGCATCTCGCGTGGAAACCGTGGGAACCCAATTATTCGTCGAGAAGGCGCTCGCGGTGAAACGATCGGAATGGTCCGAGCTTCGACTCAACTTCAAGACGGGACACGAATCCCCTCGAGGTGCTTGTCCATATTGTGACTCATCTCCGGGCAGAGAAACGGAAGGGATTCGCCCATAATCCAGGTGGCGTCTGCATCAAATGCAAGGAGGTCTTTCGTAAGTTTAGTTTTTTGCGAAATTGCTCCTTCATGAGGATTTTTTCCAAAGCTGCCCTTCTGTGAGGACAATCTGAAGAATTGGCCGCATGGGAGCCCTTGCACAGGGCACAAGTTGGAGTGAGTCCAGCTTTCATTCGGTGACGTTCTCTATAGGAAAATCCCTATCTCTTGTGAGGGACGAATAGATATTAAGAGATGACGTCCAAGAGGTTGCTTTCTCTCGTCATCCGATTGCAAAGCTGCGAATAGGCAATACGACATCGATGTCTCCGAAAGCCGTGCTGGGAGACCTGGATCAGCGAGTTATCAAAGTGGAATTTATCATGCGATGTCAAAGCCTTGTCTCCAGGCATCAATCCAGTTCATGTCATGACTGACTTTGAGCAGGGTGCCATATCTCCATTGAGTCATGAATTCCCTGTTGTAGAAGTCCATGGATGTTTCTTTCGCTCTGGCCAGAGTATCTGGCGACGGATTCAGAGTGAAGGACTGCAGCACCATCATACACAAGATGCAGAATTTGCCCAACAGGCTGGAATGCTTCCTGCTCCGATACGGGTGCTTCCGATGAGTCTCCTTTGCTTACGGTCAACTGCTGGCTTTCGGATTTGGGGTCAATGAGAGGCATAATTAGAGAATATATCTCATAACTGAGGACAGACATTTATCAAGTATCAATAAATCAAGCTCGACTTAAAATCTCCAAGAGTAAAGTAATAATGAGTGACGTCACGGATCGTCGTGAAGTGTGAGATTCTAAATCAAGACGCACTTTTCAACACGTAATTTTTTCCTCGTTTTTCGCTGTCCCACATCTGCTTTGTCGTCATGGATCCGACTCGCAAGATCTGAAGGGATCCCAGCTTCGATGAGTTTCTTTCGAGGCACCTCGTCCAGCGAAGGTTTATAGCGAAGAAGAGCCTCCCAGCACATCTCCTTCAGGCTGGGGATCTTCAACCAGATCGAATACACAGAGTTCGTGTACTCGTATTGGGACTCTGGAAACGTCACGGCACCGAACACGTACATCTTGCCTTCCTGCAATGCCAGAAACAAGATCAGTCATCTCTAATTAACTAGGATCGCAAGAAAAGACGGACGACAGACGGGAGTCACATCGACGAAATGGCCGAACGGGGTCTGAGGAAGGACGACGGGGATCCTCTTCCAGCAGAATGTGCCCAGATCGAGTTGCCACAGATCAGTGACCCTACCTTCATCACGTGGCATGACCGACTCCAAGCCGCCACACATGTAAACAACTAAAAAACAGGGGTGTAGAAAGAAAATAGGAACCGTGAAAATCTGGAAGAATGGATCCGAAAGGGCCATCGCACTCACACCGATCAACCTGGGAAACGCAGGGTTTCCATCTCATAGGCTTATAGGAAATTTGGTTTTCACATTACTTCATGCAGTGAATATTGAAAGTACCATTATTTCTGAGACACTGGTTACGCTTTCACATTGTCCTCGTGTGCAATAATCTTACGCAATAGCTGGTTGAAACTCTCTCAACGTTGATGGATGGAAAGCCCAAAGTTTAAGTTTCTAGAAAACGAATTTGCAGCGGATCATCGGCCTACACACCTTACGCACACGTCTCGGTACCACTTACTTTTGCATGCAACATATTGACGACCTACTCAAGTAAGGGATTTTTGGTGGATTTAAGTGCAGTCCACGTTCCAGTCTTGAGATCCAAGTGATGAACATCACTGGTGTATCTAGTCCCAGGGTCCTCCTTCTCCCCTCCAATGACATACACGTCTGTCCCTATTCTCACGAAGCCCTACAGAGATGTCAGTATTCGCCATCCCGGCAAACAATTTGAAATGCATGACGTTGAATCAACATCGAATAAACGTTCGGAACATTGATACAACGTTGGTCCAACGTAGCCTTGTTTGCCAAAATGATATTAGGAAATATCAATTTGAACCACATTGTGTGAGCATTTAGTTTCAAAAAGTCTATTTTCCACCCCTACCTGAGCACGGAGTTCCTGTGGATGTGACCCCACGGTAGGGAAGATGCGGCATTCCAGGCTGTTGAGGTCACAGATGAAGAGACTGTTGCCGGTTGGAGGGTAATCTTGTAGAGCAGCTCCATAAATAAGCATACGCTTTTCGTAACAGTTCCCACGCGCACCCATCGCATTTATCGGGTGATTCCCTCGCAATAGCAACGGCTCCCATCTCCTGATTCCGAAATTCAGCTTTCAGAGCTGTAAATGAAAATCGCCTGCATCATGAGGTAAGCATGCTTCTGGCATGAGATCCGAAATAAAAGATCTGAAATATGTTACAAATTTACTGAATGATTCATCGGATGGTAATCAAAGGAAAGGACTATTTCCTATTCTTGATTTTTGCTATTCGCTGGGTGCATTAAGTTGGAGACATCGGGCAGCAGGAAGCATTCACATGGGCTGGGGGGAGTCACGCGCGCAAGCTTCAATGGGTTCCTAATGGAAACATGCAGATAAAGACTGTTTTTGCTACGAAAATACTTCATTTTATTTTTGTCAGAGGGATTTCCTAATTTAAGCCCGTGAAGCACAACTGATAGGAAAAGAAAAACTAGCAGCACTTAAGAGAATACATAAGCAATGGGACTCAAAACTTCACTTTTTAAGTGGGGTTGGGCTTGATAAGAAAAAACCATGGGAAGAAAAAAGCAAGATCTTGTCAAGATGTCAACAATGTCACAACCAGGTAAAATGAGGAGAGACAACTCCGTTTCGTGGCATGTTGGCGCCAATGACGCCCTCCCTCCCTCCCTCCCTTCCTCCCTCCCTCCCTCCTTTCCTCTCGCCCTCCCTTCCTCCCTCCCTTACTCCGCCCGCTTCGCCCGCCCCTTGCTTCTGCCTGATCTCTGCTTTTCCAGTAGGAAAATGCCAACACACTGATCCCAACCAGTAATACTTCCGGCTGTAATTTTTTGTCGTGAAGCGAGGTGCCTTCAAGAAACAGCTCCAAACATGAATTTTTTGAAAAAGTGAATAAATTGAAAACATGAAATTTGAAGGACAGACAACTCCCTGAGAAGATCTAATGGAAACGAAAAATCTGTTCCTTTTGCTGCTCTCGTAACATCCGAAGGCGTAGAGGGCATCCTCACTGCAGGCTACACAGTGCAGGCTCGTGATCTCGGGGCAATCTGGAATCAAAATTTTTTGTTCATCAACTTGAGAAATTTGGAGAAAAAGTTGCAAGATCCTCGGGCTCTTAAATTCTAACAGGACTTCGTACATCCACGAGTATGAACTTTCCCAAACTTGAAAGGGGTAAACGCATAACTCCGAAGGTCCCCCGCTTGTTCCTGCCGAGATTAAAAAGTCACCTGTGTTTGCCGGCGTGCAAAGACCCACACGATCCCCCAACCACGACCCAACACCAACTCACTCGGCATATCCTGCTGCTCCTCGATGAACGTCGACGAAGCCAATCCATGTGGCACAGACGCGCTGATGCGACTGGAACGCGGTAGGAAACGTGGATGTGATGAGTGACGTTGTTCCGAGCGTTTCACTTCAGTCATGTAGGTTTTTTAAGGCCCTTTCTGCCCTCTGCAAGAGAGTTCTTCCTGACCGACCACAAATGGGCAGGGGCGGAGCTCTACTTGATGGGCGAAAGGACTGTGTCATGAGAATGACTTGTGCAAAATCTTGTTTTATTGGTCACTCATTAAAACCTTCACCGCCGTTCTTCTGTTCCAGTAATTGTGTGAAAGACTCTAGGCTTTGCCTTAGCCCAAATTGAGTGCCCTGAGGCTTCGAAATCTGCGGGTTCGAGTCTCAGGCTTTCGTTCAGTTACAACCGTGTGAAAATCCCTCGCCATCCTTTTTAACTCTTGCATTCATCGTATTTGCCAAACTTATCCCCGTGTGTCTCAAAGGCAAGACTATCTTCAGGCTACGCCTAAAGCTTAAGCTTACTGAGCTGAAATATTTCGCTGGGCCTAAAGTCAGGGTCAGAGCGATGTGATAAGATGTTGCGAATGCGATTACGTCAGCGAGACGTTCCACCATAGAAGCAGGCGCTGTGAAAATAATCATATCACTACTCTCCTCTTGCCTCTCGGTCCAACTACTATCTACTCATTTTCATTAAATCCGCCCTTGGCGGCATTCCTATGAAAAAAAAATACTACCAAACTTTTAATTGAAAAGCAATGGAAGAACAAAAGACAGAAAAAAAACAAAGGTTTATCAAGTATTTGTAGCTAGAGGGCAATAGAGTAAGCACCCCGGTTTCTGGTCGGTCTCCGGTTTTTGGCACCCAGGAGCTCTTGTCCAATCTCAATTACTTACGAATTTTCAATAATTGCAGATAGAATTCCTTCAGCACAAAAAGTTTGGTGAAATATGAGGTATCAGTTGAAACATACTCATTTATGGAATATGAAAGTTCCGCAAAAATAACTCTATTGGGAAGAAAGAATGTTGTAGGAAGAATCTTGTTCAAAATCGTTCATCCTTTTTGACATTCCCTGATATATTTTTCATACTATCCTTATATGATATCCTTATACTATCCTTATATATACTATCCTAAAAATGGTCGTGCCCTCGCAGCTCCATTGTCAAGGTTAGTGATTCATTCATTAATTTATTTTCAAAGTGGCAAAGCGTATGAAAAGTTTGTGCCCGTCGAAATGTGTGCCAAGAGAGAACGAACCGATATTTCCATCGAAATAATTACACCAATTATTCTCATGTGCCTGACTTCAAATCTCTTCATAATCTGTCCTGAGCGGTCTTATTTGAAAAATAAGATATGCACTTATGCATATCTTATTTTTCAAGCCTAAATATAAACTTAAATCTTACTCTAAATCTTAGTCGAAAATGAATCTTTTACTTTTATGCTGCCTTTAGAGTATACAAAGTCTATATTTGCATTTAGATTTATATTTAGACTTGGATTAATTTTAGGATAGGCGAGAAACAGGCCCCGGGACGACGTTCAAGAGTATCCAGTCCATCAACGAATCTCCACTCGAAATTTGAATTTCAAATTTAATTTTTACAACGGAACAGAAATTTCCTTCCCGAGTTCTGCATTGAAGCTAACCGGAATCCCATTCGAGCTGGTCGCGCTTGATGTCCTTTTCCTCTTCATGAACACCTTTGTGATTGGAATGGCCGCGATGGTGACCTCCTCCTCAGGGTAGCTACTGGTGTCTAAATTGAGTCTCTTTTTGCTAACCAGGCAAAAAACTTCCCAAGCAGAATTCGACTGATTATGAGAAGTGTTCGACTGATTGCTTTGGACATGGGGTCAAAGAAGGTATATAGGAATCATCTCAGTAGAATACGGACATTTATAGTTCAAGTCGATCACCAATCATTTGTAAACTCCATGAGTAATGTGTTAATGAGTGACGTCATGATGAATTTGACATCCTAAAAATGGATGCACTTCTTAACATCTAATTTCTTCAAAGTTCTCCATTGTCCCACATCTGCTTTCAAGTCATGGATACGATTTGCAAGATCTCGAGGGATCCCAGCCTTAATGAGCGTCTTCAAAGGCACTTCGTCCAGCCAAGGTGCATAATGAAGAAAAGCCTCCCAGCACATCTCCTTCAGGCATGGGATCTTCAACCAGATCGAATACATGGAATTCGTAGACCTGTAATGGGACGTTGAACACATTGCCCAACCGAAGAAGTACATCTTCCCTTCCTGCAATGCCAAGAACAAAAAAATGTATAACCTCTAATTGACTCAGATCACAAAAGAGGACGGTTGTTTGCCAGACGGGAGAAACGTCGACGGAATGGCAAGACTGGGAGTGAGGAAGGCTGGTGGGAATCTTCTTCCAGCGGAATGTGAGCAGGTCGAGTTGCCACAGATCATAGAACCTAGCTTCCTCGCTTAGACTTCCCGATTCCAAGCGACCACAGACGTAAAAAACTAAAAAAAAGGGGCGAAATAAATTGGAAAATAGGCTCTATAAAACTCTGGAAGTGTGGGTGACAGAGGACCATTTTACTCACATTGGTCAACATGGAAAATGGAGGGTCTCAATCTCAGAGGAGGGAATGTCCCACCCCATTCCACATCACCCTGAGTTGCAATCTCCCTCCAGGCAGTCTTTTCAAGGTTATATGCATGGAGAGTGACGAATTTGTGCCGTGATTGAACACAATCAGTGTGTTGTTGTGGAAAATAACCCCATGAATGTCCCTGCCGTATTCATGTAACATTTTTCAGTTTCCGTCAATATGAGCTGAAATTGAAGTATTCTTAGCTGTAATCATTTCTACATTTTTCTCATAATGTTTTGAAAATATTACCAGTGCCAAAGGCTTCATGAAAGATTGAGAAAAAATATAATGCACTCAAACGTGCATATTCTACATTATTAGGAACCATTTGATCCTAAGTTTCCATTTGTGTTCTTGATGTCTTGAAAGGTATCAGGAAATATCAATGCAGTAGAAATATCCTGATTTTGCAGAAAGCTTTTGACATTCCATCATGAAGAGAATACTTGGCAGAACGCTTTTTACGATGATGAAATCACTTGAGAGTTCAAGCTTCACTGATTGGATTTAAATCAGTCAAGTGCAAATGTCGCGTTAGAATTGACCAATCCTTAACCAATATTGAGGAAAATTATCAGCATTTTCCTATGCATTCCAACCTAAATGAAATAAAGTAATCTCGGGCATCAGCTTAGTCATACCACTACCTCTGTTAAATGGGTGCAGCTGTTATGCTTCATGTTAGGAATATATATTCAAGAACAATAACAAATATTAATATATTATTTTGCCCTTGATCCTGATTAATGAAGTTTGACCTAATGCTCAAAATCATGGAGATCAGAAGTGATTACCTATGGAATGAGTATTTTAAATATTAATTCATGAAGTATGAAATCTACAATGACTAAAATCCTGACTGGAAATTTTGGAGCTGGACTGAAATGTTCGATGCTGGCTAGTTTACAGCTGGAAACGTAAAACTGAATTCCTATAGAAACATTTTCTAATTCCAGTTCTAAATTTATTTTTCCGATTTCATATTTTGCTTAAAAAAATGAAAAAAAGTAGCTCTTTCGACATCTGAAATTCAGAGGCTCCAGTTCAGGCTTCAGACTGCAAGGAATCGACCCAGGGCCAGTTGAATTTTTATCCCTTCAATGTCAGACTTGAAGAAGTCTGACTTCTCCAAATGTCTGACTTGGAAATGTCGGACTTGAGCTGACCGAAGCTCACTGCCGCTGGCAAATCCGAGTACGACTTTCTTGCGTAGGATAGGAGTATTGCAAACTTCCTCTTTCAGCGAATGTGAAGCTTTTCCTGACTTTTGATGTTCGGAAAGTCGACCTCATGTTTCTAAAGAAAAGGAATTTATTAGAATCTGAGCTGCTTCTCACGTACAGCGTCCGAAAACGGAAATAAATTCTCTTTTCAAAGTGCAACACAGTTTTAAGCAAAAACAAGAATTGTACTTGATATATTGTGGCGGAGGAGGTAAAATAGGCCTAGGTCTCATGAACGGCTCCGTATTTTGCTGTACGTCAAGAAAGTAATTATAATAATTACTCCAAACTATTGTCAACCCTTGTGTTGCTTTTAGCATCGACGGCGTCGCTTAAGAACAGCAAGTAATGCTATAGAAACTGCTAACATGGAAGACATTCAGAAGTTTCTCATCTTACCCATACAATTCACAGTAATAATGCTTAATAAATTCTATTTTCCCAAAGGAGAATGTGTGCTCAATCTGGAAATGGGGAGGGAATAAGCTAATAAAACAAACACGTTAATTAAATGCATTGCATCCTTCGAATTGGTCAAAATATATCTTTCTGACATTGCTGTCAGGTAAATAATGTCGGTGAAGCCGAAAGCCTAATGACGGCAAAAGAAAATGGAAGTATCTTGAACATGATGCAAGATCATATTTCTCGAAGAAAAAGAAACCTCGAACAGGGGGAGGACAACCGTTCCTGGAGAATAAAATCTTGAAAACAGTCACGAACGTCATTGGAAAAGACATTGATCGCCCAGCAAATCAGTCAATTTGGAAATTCCTCCTCTGTCAGGTCTAAACCGTTCATAATGTCCAAAATCACGAAGATGTTCCAATGGATCAAACCTTTCCCGGAATACATTTCTTGAAATTTGTACTTCCCTTTCAAAGCTTTTCGAGAAAATCAGACATCGGTGTTTCAAACCATACTTCATTCCGTTTAGACTCTTCGATGGTGTCTTGAGATTAGTCATTGTCAATGCAACCGAATAAAATTTTAGACAGACTTCCAAAGTAAGACTTGGCATGAAAGACTGGCTTAACTGAAGCAGGGCAACAGTCACCAGGATCTGAACTTATTTCCAGCCGTTTCTGAGCTGGAATGAGTCAGAACTAGAATTGTTGGTTCTGTTGAAGATACCGTAGCCATTGGCAACAGCTGGCATCTCATTCGATCTCTCTCTCCGTTGTTGACTGACCGCATTTATAAAATACACAGACAACATTTACAAAACAGATTTTCTTTTTTAGTAACAAAATATAAGAAAGTACTTAATCACTTGAATTTTTGAGCGTGGCTGTTCAATGAAATAAGAAATTTTGGCGAATTATAGCATCCATACCAGAAATAGAGAGAAAATTCAAGCATTCATTCACAGAGTTTGGTGCATTTTATGTCTCGGGAATTCCCTGAGACATAATTATCAATGAAATCATAAATATATGTGTATATATGGTGTATATGTAAATATAAAATTGATTACTATCCTTGTGTGTGATAAGCTGAAACAATGACTAATTGATACTCTATCAACTTGGATGGATGAATGGTGCAATGTGTTCGTATCTAATTAAAAAACTTGCAATAGTTACTCATCTCAAGCGCTTGTCTAGGTGATGCGAAATGTTACATGCAACATGCTTGATATCAGGGTTTTCTGCGAATGGAAGTGCAGTCCATGTTCCAGTCTTGAGATCCAGGTGATGAACTTCACTGTAGCATATCGGCCGAGAGTTATGCTTAATCCCTCTGATGGCATACATGTCTGTCCCTATTCTCACGAACCCCTGTGGAGATGTCATCTTTCGGTTTAGGAAACAGATTGTCCTCAATATTGTAAGCTCTTCATATGTAATCTTCACTATATTCTTGGAACCCATGTTCACTTGTGCATCCTTTTTATTCACCAGATTTTCCAGTCCCAGCAAAAAGTACAATTAGGAATAGGAACTTTTCCAACTGTAAATGTGAGCCACTTCCTGCAGAAATTGTAGCGTTTCCTACTCTACTTTTTTGGAAATTTGTTATGCCGGATCCAACCGGTATGAACCAACAAGACCCACCTGGACCTTGATGTTTTATTCTGACAGATTTCTGCTTTTCCAGTCTTAATTTGCCTTTTTTTCTGGTTCCCAATTGGAACCAGTGAAGTTTCCTGCTCGGCAACCCACCTGCAATCTGAGGCAATCCGCCAGCATGGAAAGTCTATCATGAACCTCATAAAACTATTAAAATTTCTGGTTCGAACATTTTTCACGGAAGTGAAGTACCTACATGTAACATGTCCGCACCTTTAAATCTGAAAAAAAGTGAATGAACTGAAATTGTTAATTGGAGGGACAGACCTCTCGATGGACGTTTCTGATGATGAACATCTATGGGTTGGTCTGCCCCAGAAGCCTCTGAAGGCAAAGAAGGCAGCCTCGCTGCAGGCTGTGCAGTCTACCATCGATGTGTCGGGGCGAACAGAAATTACATTCTGTTTGTTAGGCTGAAATTTGGAGAAATAGTTGGAATAACCACTTTCGAATTCCAATAGGCCTTCTTACCCCCACGAGTGGAAACTTCCTGAAACTTGAAAGGGGTAAACGCATAGCTCCGAAGGTTCCCAGTTTTCCCTGCCGAATGCGACGAAAACAATGTTTGGTGACGTGCAAAGACCCACTCAATCCCCCACCCATGACAAAACCAACTCACTCGGAATATCCTGCTGCTCCTCAATTAGGGTCGGCAAAGCCATCCCGCGCGGGACAGATGGTCAAAGTGACTGGGAACATGGGTGAAAACGTAGATGGCAATGGTAACCCTATGGCGTAGGTTTTGACATCAGCTACGTCGATGCTGTGCTCCATCTGCCCTTTGTAAAAAAAAAAAAGCCCTCCTGACCAATCAGAAACGGGCAGGGGTGGAGTTCTACTGAAGCGAGAAACATGCGGCACCATTCATCCTTCAGTTCGCCCTTGTTCGCCCTATTAGGACGACACTGAGTCATGAGAATGATATCTGCAAAATTAAATTTAAATAGTAATTCATTAATTACCTTTTTGGCCGTCTTTCGTTTCCAGTGATTGTGCGGAATATTTTTCGGCGTCGGCGTTGTCTAACTTGAAGGTCGAGTTACGACCGTAGAGAAAACTCTTTGCCTCCGGTTGTAATTTATATATTCATCAATTCACTAAGCTTACCCCTATTCGTCTCAAAGGCGGAATAAAAATAGACAGTCGTTCAAAGTGGGGTCTTGAAAAGCAGTAAATTCTAATTCTGACAACCTGGGGACATGATACTTTCAGAAGTCCGCAGTGGGTTCCATAAATCGTCCAACAGGACACATTTTTCCCCCCTACAGGCATCGGGATTCATATTCTCGAAGAAAAGGGAAAACTGGCATTGCAATGCAAATGCAGACTGTTCAAATTGATTTACAGGATACACTAGCGAAGATCGTATTTTTCATGTGTGCAGCATTGCATTAATTTCACACTGTAATGAAACGGGCCAGCCTGAACTCGATGCATCCTCACGAGAAGAAAGGGTAAAGCTCGTAAAGACCACCTAACTGTGCCGCCAACTGGAGTGTGAATGGTGCCATTATCAACATTTTCTAAAATGGAAATGGCCCTTCCACGTCATAGTCTTCTCACCCTGCAAATTTAGCGATCCAACTCGGTCTGATTTGGAGAAGCGCAACCAGCTCCAAGCTCCCGGAAAGGGATCGGGCAAGGTCTTGCGACCTGACTTTCAAGCGTCTTCGAATGCACCAAATCATCAGAAGTATTTCGATCACAGAAGAGACTTAAAGCTATGGGGCACCCGTGCCGATTCGGTTAGGTAATTCGGTAATTTCACCAAATCATATGTGCATTTCGTCAATTGCAAAAATACAGTGTCCATCAAATTCATTAAGTTCATTAAGTCCAGCATCATTGATACATAGCGATACCGTTTCCTTTTAATGAACAGGTGAGTTATTAAATTGGAACGACCCCGTCGGAAGAAGAAAGACTGAAGTTGATGCCACCGTGGGGTCGCAGCGCTTTGAACATGTCTAATACGAACCTACACTCTGTATTAACCTAGCCTTGAATGATGGACTTAATGCACACCAGACAAAGAAAATAAAAGAGAAGTTTCGACAAAAAGTTTATTACTCTATGTGGAATATTGAGGACATTTCGCGATGGACAGTACTTCTTAGAGTCTAGATGTTTATGCAATGAACAAAGACGTTATACTTTCTCTGAACGTGTGCACAGTCCTTGCCACACACTGCCTTCTCGCACATGGCACATTGTTCCAGGGTCGTATCTAGGATTTCATTTCGTGGAGGGATGAGGTCTAGTGTACAAACGGTGGCTGTTTCTTTAATGAGTGCCGTCACGATGAATTTGAGATCCTAAATGAGGATGCACTTCTTTACATCTAATATCTTCGAAGTGCTCTGTGGCCCCACATCTACTTTGAAGTCATGGATACGATTTGCAAGATCTCGAGGGATCCCAGCCTTAATGAGCGTCTTCAAAGGCACTTCGTCCAGCCAAGGTGCATAATGAAGAACAGCCTCCCAGCACATCTCCTTCAAGCATGGGATCTTCAACCAGATCGAATACAAGGAATTCACAGTCTTATTATGGGACATTGAGCATATTGCCCCACCGAACAAGTACATCTTCCCTTCCTGCAATGCCAAGAACAAAAAATTGTATAACCTCTAAATGCCTCCGACCACAAGAGAGGACGGTTGTTTGCCAGACGGGAGTAACGTCGACGGAATGGCTAGACGGGGAGTGAGGAAGGCTTGTGGGAATCTTCTTCCAGCGGAATGTGAGCAGGTCGAGTTGCCACAGATCAGAGGACCTAGTTTCGTCGCTTGGACTTCCCGGTTCCAAGCCCCCACAGATGTAAACAACTAAAGAAAAGGGGCGAAATTAATAGGAAAATAGGCTCAATGAAACTCTGGAAGTGTGGCTAAAAGAGGACCGTTTTACTCACATTGTCCAACATGGCAAATGGAGGGGCTCCATCTCAGAGGAGGGAATGTCCCACCGCATTCCACATCACCCTGAGTTGCAATCTCCCTCCAGGCAGTCTTTTCAAGGTCATATGCTTGGAGAGTGACGAAGTCAATTTCATTCTCATTTGTCCCTTGATTGAACACAACGAGCGTGTTGTTGTGGAAAATAACCCCATGAATGTCCCTGCCGTATTCATGTAACATTTTTCAGTTTCGGTCAAGATGAGCTGAAATTAAAAAATTCTTAGCTATATTCATTTCTACATGTTTCTCATAATGTTTTGAAAACATTACCGGATTCATTGGCTTGTGGAAGGAGAAAAAAATTATCAGGCACGCAAACGTGCATCTTCTACATAATTAAGAACCATTTCATCCAAAGTTTCCATTTGTGTTCTTAATGTCTTGAAAGGTATCAGGAAATATCAATGTAGTAGATATATCCTGATTTTCAGAAAGCTTTTGACACTCCATCATGAAGAGAATACTTGGCAGAACGCTTTGTACAATGATGAAATCACTTGAGCGTACAAACATCATTGATTGGATTAAAATCAGTCAAGGTGCAAATGTCGCGTTAGAAACTTAATCCTTGATGAATATTGAGGAAAATAATCAGCATTTTCCTCAGCACTGCAACAAAAGCGAAATAAAATAAACTCGGGCATCAGCTTAGTCATACCACTACCTCTGTTAAATGGGTGCAGCTGTTATGCTTCATGTTAGGAATATATATTCAAGAACAATAACAGAAGATATTATATTAATTTGACCTTGATCCTGATCAATGTAGTTTGAACAGCTGCTCAAAATCATAAAAATCAGAAGTGTTTAAATATGGAATTAGTATTTTAAAAATTAAATAATGAAAAATGATCAACATTGGAACGGGCATTGATCACCAAGCAAATCAGTGAATTTGGAAATTCCTTCTCTGTCAGGTCTATACCGTTCATAATGTCCAAAATCGCTAAGAAATTGCAATGAATCAAACCTTTACCCGAATACCCTTCTTGAAATTTCTACTTCCCTTTCAAAGCCTATCGAGAAAATCAATCATTGGCATTTCAAGTCACACTTCATTCCGTTAAGACTCCCCGAAGGTGGCTTGAGTTTAGTCAGGTTCAGTGCAACCGTTTTTAAGAAGACCTCCAAAGTCAGACTTGCCTTGAAAGACTGGCTTAACTGATGCAGGGCGACAGTCACCAGGATCTGAATATTTTTCCAGCCGTTTCTGAGCTGGAATGTGTCAGAACGAGCAGTGTTGGTTCCTGATGAATAAAACATAGCCATTGGCACCAGCAGGCATCTTATTCGTTCTCTCTCTCTATTGTTGACTGACCGGCTTTACAAGATTCACATTGACAATTTTTGGAAAATAGATTCACTTGGGAAATAACAAAATATAAGAAAGTACTTAATCACCTGGAATTCCTAGAAGTGGCAATTCTATGAGAGAAGAAATTTTGACGAATTATAACATCCATGCCACAAACT